GGTTTTAATCATCATATAGTAAATTCTTTTAAAAAATTGCTTTTCAACTACAACACCAACGAATATTTTAGAGAAGATTGATTCAGTTTCATGAAGAATCCGATAATTTATTAATTGATTAAACATATGCAAAATGATGAATTGCTAAAATATTGATGATATGCTTTGGTTTCTTAAATAATACACTAATTGAAAAATGCTTTTTCAAACTATTCAATTATGTCAGTTTTCGTGCGAAATTTAATGAATTTTTAAACTTTACATCCGCCTTTGTTTCTCTATTTTCAACTATAAACAAATAACCAATACAAAGTAAATTTTGCAGCAATTCATCCGAATACTTTCAATTTAAAAGACAAACAAATAATATCTTTATATTCCATTCAACGACAGTTTATTTGTTTGTCAACTAATTGAATCAAGATTTTAATTCAAGCATATATATATTTTGAAAGAACCTCGTGAATTATCCAAACATTATAATAACGATGTTTTTTAAGCAAGAAACTTTGATTAAATATTTATTTTATGGTGAATATTTTTTAACAATGGTTAACTGTTTTCTTCAAATATTATGAATGTACTTGTAATAAACAAATTAATTTTACATAAAAAAAAACAATTAATATATATTTTTTTTACGCTGATAACGTTTGAAAAATCTTAGCTTATTTTTTTTAGAAGCTTTATTATAAATTTATTATTCCTTTTTTTCTTACAAACTTTTCTAGGAAAATAAATATATCGTCCACTTAACTTTTTTTTAATTTTTTTTTATCATATTTCGGCATGGAAATCATTAAATATTAATAAAAATTTCACTAAATTCGCGTAACTCTGCGACTCATAAAACTCTTATAATAAATGGCATAACATAAAAGAAAGTATTTTTCAGTTAAAGAGTGGTAATTTTAATCAGATACTATTTATTTACTTTCTTAAGAATGCAAGAAAATAACTAAAAAGTTGAATAAGTTGCAATGCGGCCAAATATTTAATTAATATATTGACAGCATTTGAATAGTATTATACCGGAAGTTTCATAGTCGCAACCATCTATTGACATTAATTTTAGAATTCATTTTTCAATATAAAATGTAGTAAACACATTAGAGATAGAGATAATAATCATTATTTGAGAAAAAAAAACAAATTTGGTATAAAAATCTTACGACAGAAATATATTACGAATACGGAAAAAATTGCAGATTCGATGTTGATAGCAGATGCTTAAGTGTTTTAGTAGTCATGGTGCCTAAAAGATAGCAGAATGCTTTAATGTGGTATTTTACACTCAAAAACTAAAATTAAACTGTAAAGAAATAATATTTATTCAGATGTTGTCGCCATTTAAGCTAGGTTCCATACTTATTACCAAGCTGAAAAACCCTGATGTTCTAGAAAATGATCAATTGTACGTTCTGCTTGTAATGGATTGATTTGATGAAGTAATTAAGCTATGGAGGAATGTACGATATTAAGTACGTAACCATTTCCCAGTTGTAGCATGAAATATATAGCCATTTCCCGATTCCTTGTTGAAAATTGTAACGAATTATTCCTCCCTCATATAATTGTAAATATTTAAAGAAATCATGGTAAGTAGATCCAGATACAAATGTGACAAAATAGGTCACAAAAATAGGCACGAAAACGCAGAAAGTACCCCAGTTGTAAACACTGAACACTTAAAGCACTTGAACCAGTTGAAACACTTGTGTTAAACACTGATAATGCAGCGTTAAGTATTTGACGGTATTTACTTTAAACAATTTATGGTACAGCTGTAAAAAGAAAAAAGTTTGTTTACAGATTAGACAAATTGCTATACTTAACATGAAGGATATTAATTGTCTAACCGTTCCTTCATGAATCAAAATAAGAAATCGTTCATTATTTTATTTCCTTATTTATGGATTCTAAAAATGGTTCGTGCTCCTGAAAATTTAGAATTTTCCTAGGCGCTTATAGCGTTTGCCTTTCACGTTTTTTTTAAAGTTAAAATAACTCGTCACATTAAAAAAATGAAACAAGCTATGGGATAGTGGTTCATCTCCCTCTGATTACTCTGTTTTAAATGAAAGCTAGAAGTGTTTGAGTAAGAAAATTATGAAACTGGCAGAAATAAATAAAGAAAAAGAAAAGATCCTTTGAAAATATACCGGGCTTAAGAATTTTTTAAACTACACAGACTGTATACAAAGTCTTAAGTTTAAAATATAACATGATTAAAAATTGTTAAAATTGAAATGCTCGATCTTTAAAACTTTCATTTTTATTTAAAAACGATGCATATTTAAAGTTGTCAAAAACTGCTTTACTAGAACAAGCTCCTAAATTAAGATCAGAACAGAACATGTGATGTGTGTATTAGACAAATATAAATAAATAGTCCATCGCCTGCCAGCCACTGTCTGAAACTCTGTCATAAATTCCAACAAAACACTCAGAGGAAGCACTTTACTCTTCTAGCATGTCAGTTTAGAAATGATAAATGAATTATGTAGTGAATGCTTCATTTATAATTACTCTGAAGTAATGAAAGGAAAGAACTATTGTGTTTGTATTAATACTGTGTTAAGAAATATTAAATTGTGTATTTGTTTGCCTACGTTATTCAGTATGAACATGATACAAAGAATTATGCATGTATACTAATGAAAGTTGCGAATTCTTTACCCTCAAGCACGCCATTGGCAACCGAATACTTGGGAGTTGTGAGTAAGTTTTGTTAAAGAAAATGTTTTGTATCAAATCAAACTACTATATTTTTCCTAGATTTGTGAGCCTTATTTAAAAAGTTTTAAAAATTGGGAGCAATTGTTTCAGAATAATTTTGTCTTTCTGTAATTTTCTTTTTATTAATGTTACCGTTTCAATTTTGTGATAAATGTAAGTTTTACACTCTGATATCTAAGACTGATTGTAAAGCTGTTTTAACGGAAAGGTTGGAAAAGTATTATCCAAAATATTTTCTTACCGAATTTTAAAAATTATTTTATGCAGATAATTATCTTTAACACCTTAAAGAAAGAAAGTTAATAATTATATTATCCCGCTGTTCTTTTTTAAGATAAAACTTGGGTGCATTGCAGGGAAAATTGTAGATCGGAGGACAGGACTTTATATCGCTTATTTGGTGAAACAATGACGTAAAAGACTGATGCGGCGTTGCTCGTTTCACATGAGTACCAATTTTCAGCTAATTTCATCAACGACGCAACTACCTTCTAGGGTTGTAATAGCGCTCTACAATTCTGTCATTGTTTCCACAAATAAATTTGGCCTTTTTATAGCTCTTGACGTGTTTGCAGATACGTCATTGTTTCAACAAATGAGCGATATATTTCATCACCAATAGGTCAAGCAAAAAACTGCTTACTGACAAAACTATTATGCATTTCCAAATTTAGGATAAAGCATGAACTAATTTTAAGCAATAAAAAATGCTTTTTTTGGGTCGGAAATTCAAAAAGAAAAAGAAAAAAAGAATCCGACAGAGAAGGGATTAAAGTATTGATGTTGTGTTGCCAGAGTGGAGAAAACTTAAGTTTACGATTGCGTCGCAAACATTAATTGAGATACTAAGCAGGTTAAGGAATGAAGAAAGAAAGGAGAACGAAGTTTCATTTATTTTAAACTAGAAAAACGAACGGGATCATAAGTATCGACCCAGAAAACTGAATATAAATAACAAATTGGATAATCCGAGTGTTTGAAACGAGCCGGAAAGTTGACGTTTCTTGTCTTAACTTTTCGATATGGTCGAGACGCCTTAGAAGAAACTGTTTTTTGAAACTAAATTTAAAAAGCTGGTTTAAATGTTATATTGACTTTTCTTCACAATTTACACTTGAAAGTTCTTGGTATGAAATTAATTAGAATTTACGTAGTACAGTGCGCAAAAAAGGACCACCGTGAATAACTTTAAATACTAATGATCAGATATTCACTTTCTAGGACTAAATCTTAATAGCTCGAAGGGTGTCCATAAATATTCTAATCAGTAAGTGGGATGCTATTTGAAAATACGAAATCAAACACAAAAACGTACTTTCTCTGAATAAACATAACTTTTTCTTAAACGGATTTGGATTTCTGACTCTCAAAACAGAGGGGGCGGGGCCATAATTAGGAAAATATGGTCCCAATTGTATGGTCAGGAGAAAGTTCCAAGTTTGAATCTTTCAATATTAATTTCACTTTTTCGCATATTTTGTTATTATCTCGAAAACTTTCATGTCAAGTAAAAAAAAATAATAATAATAACTTTTAGTAAATATTCATGGTTTTTTATTATTTTATTTAAGAACGCACGAAAAGACTTTGAATTGTAAGGTATAACATTTGTGCTATCATTTTAAAGAACGTAGCTTTATATATGGTAAAGTCCAAAATTTTAGCGAAATCGGTCTAGTAGTTCCTAAGAAGTTGAATTTCAAAACAATCAGACACTATTTTTTTAAACATTTTATTTCGTGGTCGATCATCAAAAAGCTTGGCTAGCATTTAAGAAGTGATATTTCATGCATTATACCAAGATTCAAATTTGCTAAGCGTGTTAGAACATTTATATTAATTTACACAATTTTTTTTCTCATTATTCTTAACTAATTTAACGAAATATCCGGTGAATACGTTATGTTGTGATTTAGATACTTTGAAAGATCTAAATAACATTGTTATGTCTCAAAATAGACTTGAATACGTTTTACTTTTAATATACCTAAGTATGCTTTAATATTTTAATAGGTTTTAATATACCTTTCCCTACGTCTTATATCATAAAAAATAACCAGTTTGTGAACCAATAAAAATGTATTCTTGTGAAAAGAGTATATATAACACATTTTTATAAATAAAATGTTATTTCTCATTCGAGGCTTTTGTAAATCATGTTAAGATTAATCTTTTTTAACTATTTGATTATATTGGTAATAAACAAGCATTTTAAAATTTCTTAATTAAGCAAAAAGAAGATTTATCTGATTTATACGTACCTTTTTCGTTAAGAAAAATGTCAGCAGAGCTATAGCCAAGGTTATTTTTTGCGACACATGAATATATTCCATAGTCGTCAGCAACTATATTACTTATAGTTAGTAAGGATGCCCATTGATTGTCACTCATATGCGTTAAGGAAATTTCATATTTATTTATGTTTTCCTTCATAACTGTGTTGTTGAATGTCCACACAATGGTTACATTTGGATTTCCATCAACGACGCATTTGATTCGACCACTATTATTGTCCATCTCACCACCACTTTGCAAAATAACGGGTTTGTCTAAAACAAAAATAATTTATTTAAGTCGATACAAAAACTATATAAAGCACATACAATTTAAAGCAAACTCAGTATTTCAGAAAATTTGAAATTATTTTTATCAAAATCATTTAGTTTAGATTTTATTTCATCTTAATAAAATACCCATTCATTCATAATGGTTACGTAGCTTCGTTTGCACATAGTTTGGGTCTGGATCAATCTAATTCCTGGAGAAAGTATCCAGGCAGATATATACATTCTTCGCATTCTGGGACTAAATTCTAATGGAGCGGAGGGGGGTAGCCTATATATTCTTATTCTGATTATATTAGTATAGACAATAAAATTATTAATTACCAATTAAATTAGTACATAGTTAATATTCTAATTATTCTTAATAATATTCTAATTATTCTTAATAATATTCTAATTATTCTTAATAATATTCTACATATTCTTAATAATATTCTACATATTCCTAATAATATTCTACATATTCTTAATAATCTTCTAATTATTCTTAATAATATTCTACATATTCTTAATAATATTCTAATTATTCTTATTAATATTCTTATTTTTATTCTAATTAATTAAATTCTAAATTCTAATTAATCAATATAGACGATAATTTTATTTAAGAAAATCAGACCAAAAAGCATACTTTCTTTGAATAAACATGCCTTTTTTTCGACGGATATGGATTTATAACCCTCAAATTATCTATATTATACTATATAGAGTAAAATTATATATAGTAGTAATATATAGTATTTAAATAAAATTATAAAGAGTAATAATATTTACTCTACGTTATTTTTTGCATTGAATATTTATTGGATAAATAAGTTTTAAAAGTGTATGCAAGAACTTCTAGATGGGAAAAATTCCCGAGGTATCGCGAAATACGTAAATAAATATATTACCATTAAGGGGATCAAACTTCAGACCTTCAGACCATTTCCTAATCAAACTATTGAGACCACATTTCTCAAACTGTGTCTAACCCCTATATTTTAGGGGTCAATAACCTGAATTTGCCAAGAAACAGGTATGTTTATTTAGAGAAAACACATTCTGTGTCTAATTTTGTAATTTAATATAACTTTTCTACTTTAATTCTCTAGCATATTTGAGGTCACCTTCTCGAACCATTAAGACTGAGTCCTAGAACGTGAAAATCCGTTTATTAGATCAAAATTTATTCGAGGTAATTTACGTAAATTAGTAAATTGTCAATGTTTCAAAATTTATTCAAAATAATTTACGTAATTTAGTAAATTATCAATGTTTCAAAATTTATTCAAGATAATTTACGTAATTTAGTAAATTATCAATGTTTCAAAATTTATTCAAATTTACGCTCTGTTTCTATAAACTATTGAATAAAACTGACATGTATTGGCACGAATAAAATATTTAATCACAAAAAAAGCAATTCGTTCGTATTATAGTGACAACTAAATTAAGTCTTCAAACCTATTTATATCTCTTCGCATGTTCCTTAGTTTAAGCATTGAACCTTTTTATGTGCTTGAACGCAATTATTAAAATCAGGCTAAGGTTTAATTTGTTTGATTTCACTCAAATAATGAATTAAAACATTAAAAATGCGGTAAACTAAAAATAGCTGTAAATATAAAATTGTTACGAAAAACTAAAGTAGTGTCCATCAATATCTCATCTCAATGTACATTTTAATCTTAATAGTGGTAGCCCACCCACCACATATCATGATAATTCAATTTTTTTGCGAAATTTATTAAAACCTACTGAACTATCTTTTAAGAGGATTTCAATTTTTATATAGCTTTAAGCTTTATTCAATTGAAAGCTGAGATTTTAACCCCAAATGAAATAAAATCATCTAGAAGCATTGTTTCCACCGATAAAAATATATCGATAAATGATATCTAGATACAAAAGAAATATCCTCAACTACATTCTTTTAACTTTTTGACGTGAAAAAAAAGTTTAAGGTTTGATTGACATTACAAACTAGATGCCTGCTGAAAGGATAAACAGCTTTCCGATTTTTTCTTTAACCTCGACATCTATATTGAACCTCCACTTGTATGATTTTTATTTTCTTTTCACTCGGGCCAAAATAAGAAAGGAAAAATAAAAGTAAAAGAAACTTACAGAGAACATTAAGCAGTACTGATAGAACGGAAGGAGCTGCTATGCCATTGTCCGCCCAGCATTCGACAGGGCCTCGGTGCTCCCTTGAGATATTGGCGATGTGAAGTATCGATTTAGTACTATCGTAGGTTGGCCGACTATTTCGGACCAATCCTTTTATCCTCCACTTTATCATATCCGTTTTGGCAGGATGAGCTGTTGCCTTGCATTCTAAAGTGACCTCGTTGCCTTCCAGTATCGGCCCTGAAGGAGTTGTAATTTTCACAGACTCTACTGTGGCACCGTCTGGGGAAATAGAAGAACTACATTTTTACAATTTATAGGTTGGCCGTTACTGCTGTAAAAAGAAATTTTAAAGAAAAATTGAATTGATATTTCAGATACGTTGTTTCGTGAAAACTTAAACTACTGAAAATAGAAAGTTATATTTTATACATTTTATAAAGAATTTTATTATGGTGCAGTTGAGGCAATACTGCAAAAATTTTATAGATTTTAGTAGCAGCAAATTGTATTTTTTTCGATCATTGTGAAAAGAAACATTACATCTCAGATGTGAACAGAAAATCTTAAATTACAATATATTTTCTTAGTTATTTACGCAAAAATAGATTTTAATATAATTTTTTTGTAAGCCATTAAAATTCGTTAGACTAATATATAAATATTGTCTAAATTTAGGATGTGTTTTTTTACCTGTGTCATTATTGATATTTCAGATTCACTATTGTATTTTAAAGGCACATTTTCACATTTCTCTATCATAAAATAAATACATTTCCTAAATTCTTATTCTTTCGCAAATTAAAAAAACATATATGCATTTGTAGAAGATATTTTACTAAAAAGACTTCATAAAGTGAAGCAGGATATCTTTTTTTTCGGAAAATCGAAGCCCTGAATCTTAATAAAGTTTCTAAACCAAGTTAATTATTAAGTTAAGACTTATATAGTTAAGTATATAATCTGTCCTAACTGGGATTTTAAAAAAAATGGAACTTCATATATCAGCTTGAATAACTTTTCTTTAGTTAACTAATACAGTAATCTGGCGTACAATAAGCTGTTGATCCAACGGAGAAGAAGAAGACTCAAAAATTTAACTTGACATTAGTTAATTAACATTTTTTCAATATTTAATAATAATTGCTATTTCATGGTTGTTAAGTATTATAATGTTTATTATTTTATTAATACAATTATTCCATAAATTTAAATTCATAAGTTTATTACACACCACTCTACAAATGTGTGTAATAGCAAATCATTTTATTTACGAGGATATTACCTTCGAATTAATGAAACAGGAAGGAAATCATCGTTAGAAATTGGAGAAAAAAATATTTTCTGATTGTAAGAAATATCAAGCAGTAAAATGCATGAGGACTGAAAAGCACTCTACTAGTATTTCAGATACTTTCAAACTGAGAAATAAGGAAATAATTTACTGCCTATAGTAACAGAAAAACAATAAAAAAAAACAACTAAATTATTGTTGAGATATCAGTCACTCATGGTTTCCTCAATGTTAAATACCAATGTCTAAATACAGTACTTGAGGTAGGGTTATTTATTTTAAAATAGTACTAAAAAAGTTTCTTACACAAAACATTGATTGTTACANTTTTTTTTTTTTTTTTTTTTTTTTTTTTTTTTTTTTTTTTTTTTTTTTTTTTTTTTGCCTGTGGCATTATTGATATTTCAGATTCACTATTGTATTTTAAAGGCAAATTTACACATTTCTCTATCGTAAAATAAATACATTTCTTAAATTCTAATTCTTTCGCAAATTAAAAAACATATATCCATTTGTAGAAGATATTTTAATAAAAAGACTCCATAAAGTGAAGCAGGATATCTGAGAGCAGGATATCTGTGAGCAGAATATCTTTTTTTTGTGGAAAATCGAAGCTCTGAATACTAATAAAGTTTCTAAACCAAGTTAATTATTAAGTTCAGACTTATTTAGTTAAGTATATTATCTGTCCCAAATAGGATTTCAAAAAAAAAAAAATGGAACTTCATATATCAGCGTGAATAACTTTTCCTTAGTTAGCTAATACAATAATACAATAATACTAATACAATAATACATACAATAAGCCGTTGATCCAAAGGAGAAAAAAAAGATTCAAAAATTTAACTTGACATTAGTTAATTAACATTTTTTTCAATATTTAATAATAATTACCATTTCATGGTTGTTAAGTATTATAATGTATATTACCTTATTAATACAATTATTCGATAAATTTAAATTCACAAGTTTTAATTTAAAAGTAATTAAAGTAAAATAAATTTTAATTAAAAAGTTTAAATTTAAATTAAAATATTTTAATAGCTAAATTCATACACACCAGTCTATAAATGAGTGTAATAACAAATCAGTTTACTTACGAGGATATTTCCTTCTGATTAATAAAACAGAAAAAAAAACATAGTTTGAAATTGGAGAAAAAAATATTTTCTGATTGCAAGAAATATCAAGCAGTAAAATGCACGATGACTGAAAAGCACTCTACAAGTATTTCAGATAATTTCAAACTGAGAAATAAGGAAATAATTTACTACCTATAGTAGCAGAAAAACATTAAAAAAAAACAATTAAAATTATTGTTGAGATATCAGTAACTCATGGTTTCCTCATTGTTAATTACTAATGTCTAAATACTGTACTCAGGGTAGGGCTATTTAATTTAAAATAGTACTAAAAAAGTTTCTTACACAAAACATTGATTGTTACAGTATTTCGACTTTGTCCTTCATCATTTTCAGCAGCGCATTCATAAGAACCAGAGTCCTTTCTAGTAACATTCCTGATCTCTAAGATTGGTCCAATAACAAATATCCGGTGTGTCTTATCTCTGTTCTTTATTGCAACTCCCCGTTTACTCCAGATGTAAATTATATTTTCCGGATATGCTTTTGCTGTCATATTAACTGTTACAGAGCTCCCTTCTGACATGTCTATTGTGTGAGAAGTCTTTAGAAAAACAGGGGCATCTGAAAGTAAAATTTATTGATTGGTATTTTATTGTTGAATTCATAAAATGAAGATCTAGGGGGGGGATGGTTTATATCCATTTTCACAAAGTCATGGTGAAGAACTTAGCCTCATTTTTTAAGGTTGTTACTTGTTATGGACATGGTAGGAATGCCACGTAATTTTGACTCTGGTTAGACGACGTGACCATTGCCAGAGCTTATACTAAACTCTCCATACTTCCCCACCTTTTAACGCGCCTTTTAACCAAACTTTTTACTTGTACTCTGTTACGTATACACACCAGTTATATCGGTTACTAGTATTGAACTCAACATCTCAAGCTCTCAAAACCAGCTGTGTGGGTTTTGAACCCCTTGCCTGTATCACCCGAATCCTGTTCGGACAACTACTACGTGCATTATTTGTGATGGCCGAACTGACTTCGAGAAGGCGAAAAATTAACGTTTCGATTTTGTGAAGTCCGAGCTGCGTTCTTTTCTACTTCAGGATACTTAATTCACAGCTATCCTAATAGATGGCACTAGTGTTCCTAGTTTTTCACAGATTACCACTTCAGTCGAGGGAGGGAAACGTGGGTAGGCGTTTTGGGATATACCATACTGTAAAAGATTTGTAAAATTTACGTATTGATAATAATATTGCTGTGTTTTTATGGTATATTATACTAGTAATATTTTAGTTGGCTTCAAAAGTTTGTTTAATTTGTTCTAGTTGAATAAGATGTGTGTGTAATTCATTACTTTTTTTATGTGCCTGTAAAAATTATAAGTAAGGCAGTTATTTCATTTAAATTTTTATTTTTGAAATCGAAAACCATTTCCAATTTTTATAATACCATAAAGAACAAAATTAAGCAGTCAAGAAAAATTTCCCTTTTTGGTCCATTTTTCTGAAATATGTTAAGGGTTACTGTTAAGGGGTTAATCGACTGTGCCACCGGAGCGCCATGGTTTATGTCAATGACAGGTGATTCTTAACCTTTTTACTTCAGAACTGTTCATCTGCCATGCGTCATAACTCCTTTGGAGATCCACTTTTACACGTTATTGAATTCTGAAAACTTGCTAATCAGCAAAATGTAAATTGACATAAACCCTTTGCCCCCCTTTATCTTCAATTATTTAAAAACATCATTTTATTGAAATTAATTAATTCTTTAAATTAAATCAAGAATGTTGAAATGCTACAAAAATAAATCTTGATGCATAAGTTTAATTAAATACGTAAATAAATAGGAATAAATCATAATTCTTGTTTGGTTCAATAATATATATGACGTACTGTATTTAGTTGTCTAGTTTCCAGTAATTTATAACTACTGATATGGATTAAATAACATACATTTTCGAAACGAATTTTGTTTTTAAAGATTATAAATTAGAAACGCTGAAAAATAGAGAAACTAATTTAAATAAGGATGCATGATTTCCGATGGTTTGATGGAATAAAGAATCTATACTCTTAAAATATTTAGAATATTTTTTTTATTTTTGTGTTTTCAATTAGGATTCACAAATAAATGCCTGGGTAACAATAAAGTTACTTCACTTATATACAGTATTTAATGCTTACCATTAATTCATTTTAATGATTAAAAATTTGTATAATTTTTATACGACAAAATGTTATTTCAAGTTAGCTAACAAGTACCACAAGCGAATTTTACTATATCAGTACAACTTACTTAGAAGAAAGTTACGCCAGCAGAAAAAAGAAGCTAGAAAAAAGTTAAAATAGCAGAGTTAGATGGGGTTTTTTTTCTCATGGTTTGCTTTTCGGTTTCAACACATAAGTTCTAATGAGCAAGAAGGTGAAAAGCTCATATAGTTTTTATTATTTTAGTATTAGATATTTGACGAGCAAAGTACTTAATCTCAAAGTATAAAAGTTGAAAGAAATAACTAAAAAATTTTAAATGAATTAAAACCCACCGAAATAATTTTATGAAAACTATAATTTATTTATATATATATATATATAACTGGAATTTTATATATGTGACCGGCAAAGCATGAAATATCGGCTTTATATGCAATGCCTGGGCATTATATATAATGCCTGACGTTTTTAAACGAAGTATGAAATATGAGAAGTATTACATACTTTGCCTAGGTATTATCTATAACTCCGGATGCTATTTAGGCAAAGTAAGAAATAAACGTCCTGATGAAGTTATTATTTAAATGATGTGCATGATACTGTGAATGACCGAAATCGGTAGTTGTTGACTTTCACCGGTGAATGTTGACAATCACATAGTCACTTTGGTGAATGTCCGAAATACTTATTACACCCGATTTTACATTAATTTATTCGTGGATATAATTACATTTATTCCATATTTTAATACTTACTGACGACAGATTAGAAGAAACATCAGTGTTTGGAGTATCAGGCAAATATATACCGGGCAGTGGCCCTTGCTCTTAAAAAAACATCAGTGTAGGGTATACCGGGCAATGGTTTTTTAAGGTCAAGTGCCACTCCCCGATATACATTTGCCTGGTATACCTTACACTGATGTTTTTTTTTAAGGTCAAGTGCCATTGCCCGGTATGCATTTGCCCAGTATACCCTACACTGACATTTTTTTAAGGTCAAGTATCATTGCCCAGTATATACTTGCCCAATACTCCAAACACTAATGTTTCTTCTAATCTATCGTCAGTAAGTATAAAAATATGGAATAAATGTAATACCCACGAATTAATTAATATCAAATCGGATGTAATAAATATTTCGAGCATTCACCAAAGTGACTATGCAATTGTCAACATTCACCGCTGAAAGTCAACTATGATTAGTATGATTAGTACGATAGCAAGGAAGTTTCATTGCATGATTCGTCTACCAATGGAGATATTTTTACGTCAACACTACGGTCAGATGTTCATAATTTTTTTTAACTTTGTAATCTATACAGCCGACCCAATGTTTGGGCTTACGACAATTATTGTTCAACTCCGTAGCCTTGATGTCCAGAAGACAAGGGTACTCCGGGATCGTGACTTCGCGGAGGACTTTTTGATGGAACTAACTCGCTTTTGCGTTACAAAGAAGAAAACCACGAAAGCATCCCTTACGTTAGCCTTACTGTAAGAGGACTCTAACCCATAATCCGTCTGCCACTGAGGATACTTTAAGTCAGCACTGTGGTTCGTGCAAGCCGGATACGGAATTCGTATCGAGCAGCCATCGCTGGAATCCGGTTCACTTCATTGGACGGCGAAAGCTCCATCCCCTGAGTCATTACGGCTTCATGTTCATTAATTATGATAATGATTAAAGGGATTAAATAGTTAAAATGAAATTTTTCATGTTGGAAAATATTTTCAAATGAACGAAATATAAACTTACGTCTTATCCGAAGAGGGATATTTTCTGTAACAACAGATTTGAGTTGTTCAATCTTAGAAGAGCAAGACATTTGTGAATTATCATCACTTGCAGAAGCTAAGAAAGATATTTTGCTTTTTGTAGAGAAGCCACCATAAGCTGAGCTAGTAGTCTCTTCTACGTATTTCTCTAGTTGTTTTCCATTTTTTAACCAAGTAATTTTTGACTTTGGATTACTGCTTGCAGTGACACACGTGACAGTTACCTGAAAATAAACATAACACCAATAATGTGCCTCTATATTGCTTTTTCTACACAGCAAATCAAAGAAGACACATTTCAGCTTTTTTTTTATTAAATTTTGTGATACAAGTCCCAAACAAATTTTTTTTGCTAAAATTAGCAAAATTTCTGCAGAATATAGCCCAATGGTGCCACTTAATATTGTAAACTAGATATTTTACCTTAATAAGAGTGTATCTTCTCTGCAAAAAAATACCTTAAATACTATTTCCATTTTAAAATTTGCAAGGTTAAGATGGTTTAAGAATCTATAATTCTTAATGGTATATTAATTGTAATTTGAATAAGACACGATATGGAACTATCATTACATTAAGTTGGCTGGTATAATATATTTGAATGCATGATTTAATGATGATCATTGCAAAATAACAAAACGCAATAGCAAAGAAGAACAGATTGAATTACTTCTGTTATAAATAAGCAATCAACAATCATATATACTTTTTCTCTCGCAATCATCATTTGCAATCTTTGGGAAAACAGCTACAAAAACAAACTATTTTGAGCAAAAAGTGATTGTTTGGGGGATCTATATCCCAATTACCTAATTACGATTGCTCAAGCAAGCCTAATCTTTATCAGTAACTATAGTTCCCATTATCTAAAAGTAGGGGATGCTTCCGGGTAAGAGTAGAGCTCTCCAGGTCAACTATGGTTAAAGCTGTTTACTGATAGTCAATAGCTCTGGTTCAGTCTTCTAAAAATAGCAAATTTTAATGATATACCAAATTTGGATTTTTAAATTATTTTAAAGTTTAAAATTAAATTTCCTTAAAAAAAAAGGAGAAATCCTAAAAGGATTTTCTTCTTCATATTTGCTTCAGAGATTTCAGCTCATGGGTCGTGTATATACATATAATAAATGCAAACACCTTTTTTTTGAAGCTTCTGAAAGCAATATGAAACTATGGAATTAAGTAATATTTAAAACGTTGAAGCATTAAAATACAATTTAAACAAATTAGATTGTACAAGAAAAGTAAATAAAAAAATTATGGCCGTTTAGTTTCATTTCTAATAATTCTAATTTTTTCAAGCACAAAAATTCTTTTTAAAACATATGCTTAAATTTTTGCCTCAATAATCACAAATACAATTTATACCCTCTTTATTGTTTTTAAAAACCTTGTCTAAGTATAAATTTTAACGAGTGTTATTTTTTTTATGTTTCAGGAACTAGTTCGAATTTAATGATCGTCACTTGAGATAATCACCTTCTGAAATACAAAAAACAAAGTTGGTCTTCTAAAATATTGTCATTTTGATGAAAAAAAAGAGCTCTGGAATATTTCGGTTCATTGAAAAACTGTCATTCTTATCGATTATTAAACTAGAATAATTGTGATCTCTGAAAATAAATGTGCATTACAATTTCCAGTTCAGATTACTAATTATGCTATGCATGCCAAGACAGACTAATTTAAAGTGGAAACTAATTTTCAGATGAAAAAAATATTTTAATCTTTTTAAAGAAGCTTGCTTAGCCGTGCATGAAAAAAGTTCAATTTAATCCGTATTATCTACGATTTATGTTTTTTTGTAACTGTATTATGAATAATATATCTGCAAATTTAATGATCGTAATTCATTTTCGCTAGTTTGAATTCGCAAAACAATTTTTTCAAACATTTTTTTTTTCTGTTAGCTTATCATGAATTTTCTTTTATAATAGCTATTTTAATTTTAAAGGTTCTTTTAAATTAAAAAAAAAAGAACTTTGTAAAAATAAATTCCTTAACTGATACTATTTCTACATATATTTAGCTTGTTTAAAAAATGAAGTTTATAATTTAAACGACAATTAATGACTGAAATCATCTATTTGTCTAATATTTAAAATATAAATTTAGTCTAACATTTAATTTTTATAAGACATTTTTAGCAACACTACAATTTTGTTTTTCCTAAAATCGAAATCTATTGCGAATAAAGCATGATTTAATTCATACAAATTTGCATGAATTAATTCATGCTATTTATATTTTTCCTCCATCTTAAAATGAAAATAATAAACAACCATATAAAGAAAGAGTAAATTAAAATTCAAAATTTGATTACACAATTTATGCAGTTTTATTTTTATGCTAATAAATTAGTATTGTAACTTTAATAATTTAATATTAACAAAATATCTCATGGGCCTAATTAAATTACTTATAAATCAAGTAACTGGGGAAAAAAACTTTGAAAAAAAAGCTATGAAAAAACAATTACATTTTCAGATAGTCGGAAAAGTTTTGTTCCATTAGTATTTAATAAATTAAAATTTTAAAATTTAATAATGCATATTAATGCGTACAATACACATATTAAAAGCAAATTACTTAATAAATTATTTTAGGAAACTTGAGCCGAAAAGCCTTTATATTATCTAAAAATTAAGCTCGAGGATCAAAAAATTAAGACATAATATTTTCTTCTTTAGAAAAATTAATGTCACAATTTGGATTATTCTCTTAATTTAATTGGTTACAATTTCTTTTTTAAATTTTATTTTTGATCTACTAAGCAATGTTTTTTTAAGATATAACAGTCACATATAAGATATAACAGTCATTCTTGACTACAGCGAGCAAATACGCTTTAAGGTTAACTTGCGTATCTTAAACTATCTTAATGTTGATTAAACGATGCAATGGTTCAAATTTAAAGGAAACGTAGATCAATTCAACACATACTTAATGCTTTATGAGATTTCCAAGATATTATATTTTAAATTCTAATTAAATTGTACCAATTTCTAATTAAATTCTAATGAATTCTGATAGCTAATTTTTATCACTTTGTAAATTTCATTGTGATTTATAGTGGCTGTTACATGTTGCATTTGTTGGAAAGATTGATAAAATGAAACAGTTTACAAATATTCTTTGATATTCGAAAATTGCGCTGTCTCAAAGTTTGAAAGACTCTTGGTTTTTCCTGTAAACATTCTTTAAACCAAAAGTAAAGATTTTTAATTTATACTCCAGAAGTAATTTTATATAACTAAACCCCTATGAGGTTACTATTAGAGCGCTTCATAGGGATTGACATAGCTTTATAAAAAGCTAATATTGTGAACATTTGATATTGTTTCTATGTTTGATTTTGTAACATTATATTATATTTTAAATTCTCTCATGGTCCCGGAAATTGAATAAACTTAAAATGTAGTTATGAGATACTCACATTTTCTCCTGTTCTAGGATCTACTGGATGTACTTGTATGGTCACATTAACGGGAGAAACTATAAAAGCAAAATAAAATAAAAAAATTTAAAAAAAAATATCAGCATTTTTGCTTGGATTTCAAACATGAATATTTTTGTAAATTGAATATTTTAATTTGAAAATTTAAAAATAAAATAGAAATTTTGCCATATATTGGGATATTTTTATTTTTATTTTTGTCGTATGCCTGTTTAGACAGTGGGGGTACGATTGTTCCTATTTTTCAGTGGCGCCATCTATGGCCAGGAATTAGACTTCTGCCACGCCATTCACACAACCACTACCCGTTTATAGGACGGGTCACATTCACACACAAAGGAGAAAGGACATAGAACACAGAGAGAGAAAGAATCATCCATGCCTTGCCCGGGATTCGAACCCATAACATTTCTCAGGCAAGTACAGTTCCCTGCCCCCTACACAGGCCGGTCGGCGATATTTTTATTACGTATATTTTATAATTTAGAAATGAAGCAAAAGCCAAATAATAATACATTTATATCCAGGGGACAAATCATCATGACTTTGAGTAATCATTCTTTCAGTGTTGATAATCATTATGATTTTTAAATGAGATCCGTACATTAAATAATAATTATACTCCGTATAATTGCAATACGGGGTAAGGTAAAAAATCTCGAAAGAAGTTATTGCATCATAAAATAGAAGTTAGATATTTTCTTTTTAATTTGTGTGTTCGTTTATTTTTGTCTTTCACTTCAATTATATAATTTTTTTATAATATATGGCTTAGCTGAAATTTTATTTTTATGTGTTTTTACTGTGTCGAACAAACGATAGTGGGAAATTGTTCGCTTGCTCTGTACACTATATTTGCTTACAAAAGTTTGGATTCTAAGTCTATAAATCTTCTTATCTTTTCCCCTAATCAAAAGATTTTAACCATAGTTTACTTGTTTTATCTACGTTGATTGAATAATTTAACAGCGCAAGCTAATAGACTTTCTAATTCGAGATTTAATAACTTATTTTAAAATATCATTCTAGAATCAATTCTAAAAATTCTCATATTTCTTATTCTATTTTAGTTTGAAGTTTTTTTAAAATTCTGTTAACAAACTAAACTGCATTGACGTCAAACACCATATAGCAAATATAATTACCTGGAGTATTTACCAAATATCTTGTCGACGTGGCCCCGCATATAATGTACAATCTAAATGCACCTTTAAACTTCGATTAAAAAAATGAATAGTTTGTGCAAAATCAAGGTCTTAAACACTATATCCTCACTCATATTAGCTAGACTTCGAACCATAGTTTCTCTGATAAAATCCCACAACAGCACTCTTCAGCCACATATTTAGATTTCTTGGAAGCAATTCTTATTTTAAAAATTTCTAATAATTAAGAAGCTAATGATCTTTCTAGAATCTTATTCCTTTCCTAATGTTTGGAAATTTACTATCTACTAAAACTTGCAAGTTACTAAAACTTGCAATGGATTTAAAATCCTTCAACACATATCTACAGTCACTTACTTAGATTTCTTAAATTTTTTTCTGATTTTAAAAAAAAATCTTATAATATAGGAGTTAATGCTCTTTCTAGAATCTTATTCTCCTAATATTTGGAAATTTATTTTCGCTTAGTTTCTAAAACTTGCAATGCATGTGGTTCTCACTTTATTACCATCACACACGTTTTTCATCTCCCTTCTAATGCTTGATTTTATTTTTGTGCGAGCTTGTATATCCTTCAGAATAGGTCAATTTGGTCAAATTAGTTTTCTCCTTTGTTATAACAGCCTCATTGAGTTTCTCTTTTTTCTCTCCATGTTTAGACGCTTTAAATTTCTTTCAGGTTTCAGATTTCATTACTGAATATGAACTAAAATAAGGTTTTGTTTGCTACCACGTGTGCACTTTAGAGCTGTATGGCTTAATTCATGAGATATTTTTATATTATAAAACTGCCCCGGAAGTTTATTTGAATCTCATTTCTGATCCTTTTTAGAATACTTAATTATCATTAAAAACTCCAGCCAACGCAAGAGATACTAATTGCATTATATCATAGAGAATACATTTGAAAAATAAATCATAAAGTAATTATTATTCGACGAAATTGTAAAAAAGAAACAATATTGATCAATAGGCGCTGAAATTACGAAAATCTTATATCGTAACGTTTTGTGACTTGAGGTGACTAGCTTTTAAGACTAACTCTTTATGACTTGCCATATTACTTGGCTAAACTACACGCTTGACTTGGCCAGCTGTACTTGACTTTTGACTAAAGTATAAAGAAAAAAAAAAAGGACTGAAGTTTTGTTTTTGAACTTATAATTCAAAATTATTATGAAAAAAAATTATGATACTTAAAAAAATACATACTTTATGTTAACTTTAGGTATATTTATCTACAACCTTTGATCGTTTATTTTAAAATACCAAATAATGTTTGGTTACTAGACAAAAACAAAATGCATTCATTTCAATCTGAACTTTATATCGACAAATTGATTTCATTTTTATAAATATTGTTTTATGAATAAAGAAAGAAAATAATTTTCCTTTTCACAAAATTATATTAGCTTTAAAATTATTTTAAGGAAATAAATACTTAACAAAAACAAAAGTAACCTATAATTTAGAGCAATCTTTTTTAAATATGGTAGTATTTTTCAATAGCTTTTGAACTTAAAGGCTTCCTTACTGCTCCCGTTAATAATCTCCATGAATACTATTTTTTTATTCCATTTCTATGCTATTTTTTTATAATTGAGACCGTAACTTTCTAAAAATAATAAAATTATTTTTCTCTTTCATATTTTCAAACTTTATATTTGTTCTTATTACTTTTTTATTTGGTCTGAAATTGCAGTTTTAAAACATTCTACGAGCTGAGAATACCTACAGATAAAATCCAACGAAATTGATGCGGGTTAAAAAAGTTTCGAGGTTAATACCGAAGAAGTATAAAGAAGAATCATCTTCACTTACAAAGAACTGAAGTTCGAACAAAGGCGGAAAGAGGTTCTCTCAAAGCAGAGTTGTTGGCTTCGCAACGATAGAAAGCTCCATTGTCACTCAGTTGAGCTCTAATGAGAAGCTCACTTGACGCAAACGACCCGAAAGTGATTACAGGGGTGCTGATCTAAAAGAAAAAAAAATAAAATAAAACAACGCAAACCTATATATTGTTCATTGAAAATAATGTTTCTGGAAAGAATTAAAACGCTTACGCAGTACTGGTCAAGTGTAATTTTTTTTTCAATCATACTTAGTGACTGCCATTATATGCTGTTAGAAAATTCTCAAAACAAATTACTAAATTGCAATTTATTTAATTGATATTTTACCATATTCCTACAAGGAAGCCAAATAACCATAAATAAAACGACATCCACACTGTTAACTGTAGAAAAAACCGTTTATTAACTGTTTTCACTTAATACGGTTGAACAACCGGAAATTTTTCGCACCAACTAGGCTCACCACTCAATTTCTTGAAGATGAGTACATATTATAGCAGAGAGGATTAATCTGTCAATATCATGACAGACAGAACGGGGCTAGAGTCCCAACGTTGACACCATAATATCCCCTTCAATACACGAAGAATTTCTAGTGCTATGAACTTCCCAATTTGTGATCCTGGATTATTTGAGCACTATATTCTCATACACGTATAGATGGCAGAACTATAAATCTACTAGACTATTTTTACTGTCCAGTTACCAAATTACTTTTTTATGATTATAAACCATGCTAGTTGTAAATTGTTAAAAAACACCTTATTGTTTTGTATTGACGGTTTTTTAACCATACTAGTTGTAATCGGTTTCAAGACCATACAGGAAAAAAAATGTTCTTCACCGTTAATTTAACGGTTGATTGTATGGATACACTATTGCAGGTTATTTTAACAAAATTTTAGAATGAAAATTCTAGCTAGATTAAATTCTGATATTTTATAGATTTACAGGTTTGTTAAGTAATATTAAATGCTATTAAATTGGCTAAAATAATTACTCAAAATATTCTTAGAACTTTTGTTTTTTTTCACAAAATATTCTCAGGTATATCACAGAGTAAAAAAGAGAATGAATTCAAGATATTCAAGATTAAAAAAAGGAATGAATTTCCAAATTTATATGACTCCTAACAATTACATTTATAGTAGTACTGGGTAATAATTAATTGTTAATAGTGATTGATAAATAAACAACTAACACTTTTCTACCTTGATAATAAATAAAGTGAAATATAAATAAATGTCTTTTTCATTTTTCAACACTTCAACTCTCATAAATTGTTAGGGGACATGACGCAAAAAATCATGAATTAAGTTCACATTTTGTCAAAATTCAAGCTCTAAATATTCTTGGTAACTGAAACTTACTTGGTGCTTTGCAAAATACATTAAATCTACAAAAAAAATGTTAAAATCATGTCTACAGCTTCATAGTTAATTTTTTGGAAGATATATTTCTTACATTTAGATAAATTCTGTCAAATTCATTTATTGAAGCATTAGATAAAGGCAAATAAATCAATTTCTATCAAAAACGTTAGTTTCACAGCTATTATAATAGCCTTACCATCTTAAAATTCAATGGTTAGTAATAAGTTTCGCTAAATTAAGCTCATTTCAATGGCAAAAGCTTACTAAAATATTATATTACTATATTATTTGATTAAAAACTTCATTCTCTTCAAAAATATATTAATATCATAAAATCTAAAGATAATTAATTTTTGAAGCGAATGAAGAATTTATACAGATAATGGGTTACAGTTTTAGCCTTTTAGGGTTAATTATTTAATATTAAAATATATAAAGAAGATATAAACGAGTTCTCATTAATTTAGATAGACTCTCAAATGTTCTGAAACACGAAAAAAAATTATTGTTTAATAAGAAGTGTCTAATTTTTCTATGAGTTATTCAATAATCCCCCGCTTCATGCATTACCCACTGATGTAAAATTAACAAAATAAAGCTTTCTAACAGAGATTCTTTAACAAAAATTAATGATATTTTTTTAATTAAAGGTAAAACAATGGTTTGATTTGGTTGTATACACTACTGGCTTACTGGCGACACTCTGGCAATTCATCCATAAGGATCATTCGAAGACATTAAAAGTGCATAATATAATTACATTGACGCAATTTTTATTGGAGGGCACCCAGATTAAATATCAATTAATTTCGTCTCCGCACCATGCTCCTTATCCACTAAACTGTGCATTTAATTTTTGGTACTTTATAAGTGTCACTCGAGGGAATTCTGAACTATCAAGAAGCGACAATATTAAGTGCAGTCCAATCAGAAGGTCTAGTCTTAAGAAATTTGAATCGAGTCCTAGCTTATGTCTGAGTAGACAAAGACTTAATTCACATCACCTATAATGCGATAGAGATAAATTGGCGAGATTTTAGATTTTAATTTCTCTAAAAATCACACTTAAAGACTTTACAACAATAAAACATTTCACTTACTTCTCGATCTCCTTTAAACCATCTGATTGTTGCTGCAGGATTTCCTCCTTCTGATGTACAGTTTAATTTCAGTATATCCCCTACTTTAAGGGATGTATTTGTATCATAGCCTAATATTATTGGAGGTTTTGGAGGATCTGAGGAAAAAAAGGAAAATGCAGTGCGTCGCATGCCCTTAATATGTATATATATATGTATTTTTCTAGCTTTTAAAAATTTCCTTAATTCCTAATTTCTTAATCATTCTAAATTTAGTTTTAACAAAATCAAATCAATTATTTAATTTTTATTACATATTATGAACTTATTCTACTTTAATGAGGAAGAAACAAACATGCTATAAGATATAAAGATATAAAATTCGGAAAAACTACTTATCAATAGTTAGAATGTGGGATGATAAAATCATAAAAACCAGTTTGATTGCATGCTGGAACTTACGTTTTTAAAAAAACCATTATTCAACTTTTTTTAAGACATTTTAGTAAGTTTAGATGCTTTCATTTCAGTAGATAATATTTAAATCCTCACCTTAAAATTAATTTCCTACCCCTTAAGTGCTTCTTCTTCGATAATTATACTAAAATCAAAGTTGATATTTAAGAAATATAAATTTTTGTCAATAAAAAGTAGAAAAAATAAGCACTTTCTATTTAATCTTTTTTTTAATTTTTAAATGAAACTTAAGGATAAATTTTACTTCTTTACCATTGTAAAGAAAATTTATTTCGATGTTCAATGAATCGCAATACTTAATAATTTTGTTAGCTGAGATGATTTGACATTTTTTTAAGATATAATTTTATTTGAAAAAGAGAAAAGTTACTTTTACCATTTATTTGATTTTTGGACGGGACATGTAACGGACATGTTGACGGGACAAAAACAGGATAATTTAAGGATTTGAAGAGCATGTATGATTAAGCATTGATATGGCTGAATTTTGCCGACACTGCCTTTAGTTTCTTTCTTCAAACCATTCGTGACTGAGTGTTAGTTGGTCTAAAAAATAGTTTTCAAGAAATTTAGAAGAAAAAATGTCGGTGTGTTAAATCTCTTGATTGGAGTGGCAAGTTCTGACCCCCAAAACCCAAGATTACACAATAAAAATATGAAGTAGTAAAATTGTTCTTACAAACAACATCCAAATTTTAAAGAAAATGAACTTACAAAGCAAAAATTACTTCAAATTAAAATGTTTTGATTACATTTGGACACTTTTCTAAGTTAGTGTTTGTAGAATAATTTGATTTAGAATGATTGAAAAATTATATACACAGAAGCAATATTCCATATTATATTAGCTAATATAAACTTATATATTCATGTTTAGAGATTTATTCATTAAAAATTGTAAACTCATGTAATTAATTCATGTAAATTTATTTATAAAGTACTCACACACAACGAGCAGTTTATGCGTTGCAGATGCTGTCCCAAACACGTGTGGATTCTTTGCAAAGCAAGAAAATATTTTTGTATCCGGTTCCTAGCATGAAAGAAAATGTTCTATGAATAAAATCGATTTGAGAAATAGAGGAAGATGATGCAGGGGAAAGGAGACAGGAGAAAATACTCTCTCTAACGGAAAGAACATTTTTTTGGTTGTAAGAAATATAAAGAATTCCATAATATACTGAGAAAAATTCTGTGACATTTAATATAAGGCACTCCAAATGATGGGTCAAAGGTTATCAACTTTGGAAAAAAAACTGCTATTTTTATTTGTTTTTTAAATATAATTATTGTTTTTTAATTATCTATTTTTAGTAATTGTAATAAACTAAGTGTGAAAATATTTTTTACTGGTCTATTTTCTAAACAGATGCAAAAGATGTTTTTAACTCGTGCACTGAGAAAAAAAATCACCAGATCTAGCGGATTATGGTAAAACTTCACCATGTTTCTGAACCTATGGAAGCACAAAAATGCTTGATAAATTTTACCGAAGTGCTTTGGTACTGATTTTAATAAAATAAGCCATTGCATATAGTTTTATAATATGTGGTAAAATTTGGTAAGTTTATCATGATACCTTAGAGCATGGGGAAAACCATTGATCAATTTAAATTTTCCTTTCAGTTTTGCATTTTTTTATTAAATGTGTGGCAATAAGAACTATAGTTTTGAAAACCGGAATTTTCCGTTAAACTGTTACCATATGAATCGAAACTTTACTGAACTAAATTTAATTTTCAGTTTTGTATTTTTTACTAAATGTTTAAATAATGGTAATCTGTCAAATGTTTACTAAATGTAATGCGAACTATAATTTTCAGAACCGGAATTTCTGGCAAACCATTATCATATGAAAGGTAAAATTACCAAATAAATGGTTTAAATATCGTACATTTTGGTTTTACAAAACTAGAATTATATTTTTTTTACAAGAAATGTCATTACCATTCAGCACTGTGTTTTATTATCCAGATTTGTTTTCTCTGTGGGGTCTTTAAAAATAATGATTATTTTGTTTCAGAAATGAGCACAGGATTTTATTTGAATCCGCTTTGAATTTTATTCAGAATTTTATTATATTGACATGGGATTTTACGTTTTTTTTAAACAATGCAACAACAAAAGTAATTTATAATTTTCTACAAAATGAGTTTTGTAATAATAAAATACATTAATTAGTATCAGGTTCAAAAAATTTAAAAATATATAAACATAGCAAAGCATAGGCTCATTTACAGCGTTTTACGCAACTCTCACATTTTAACTAAAATTCAATAACAAAGTTTAAGTGAAACAAAACAAAAACACGAGAAATGCATTTTCTTAAAGCCAAATCGTAAATTACAGTTGGTTCTTTAAATACAAAGCATTTAGTTTCCTAACAAATGAAGCTTCCTAAATTGCTTTCGTTTCTGTACATGGGATGGAAGTAAGTGATAGCTCCGCATATTACCCTAAGTTCGCAAAACTAAAACCCATTAAAGTAGTCAACAAGGAATTTGCAGAGAATTTCTTCTAAAACTAAGCGGAATTTGCGGAATTCCCAGTTAGCTATCAATCGCTGTCTTTTACACATGTAATTGTTGCCGGAGGATTCCTTTTGTTAAACTGGTACAGTAAGGTTAGTTACCGGACTTACACATTATTTTCGATTTTTGGAAATTATGTTCCCTACTTTGAAAGAGCAAACACACTTTGTGTTAAAATATTTGTTCCAAAAGAAAAAAAAAATACGTAACACAACAAAACGCTCCATGAATGCTAAAATGTTATGGTTTGAGTCTGTGATTTTTCTTGCATTTGGGATATATTATAACTCAAATTATTAATCTCATGGCTTGATGATGCAGTATATCTTACTCTGATATGAGTATATTTTTATCAGATTACCTGGTTTAGCTATTCAGATTTACTGGTTCAGATCAATTAAAATCAATCATTTTGTAGTAATTCCTACTCTACAAAAAGTATTCCTACTCTACAAAAAGTTATTACTACTCTACAAAAGTTATTCCCACTCTACAAAAAGCATGGTCAAATCTACCAGAAACCATAGAATTTATTGTGTTTCGAGCTCTGTGGGAACATTAAATAGTACGGTAAGTATTAAAAGTATTTTAAGTATTTTTATCAAAGTAATTTTATAATGGTTCATAGCAAAATTAACAGCAAAAGATTGTCTTATAATATGTGATAAATAATTGATAAACGATATAAAATTTGTTAGTTTGATCATGATTACTTAGATCATCGCATAAAAACCATTTAATCAGCTAAATTTACATTTCAGTTTTACATTTCTTCTTACAATTCTAATTGTGTAGCAATAAGAACTATAATTTTGAAAAATAGAAGTTCCGGTACATCCTTACCATTTGAACGAAAAAATTACTAATTGAAGGATTTAAATATCATATATTTTGGCTTTTAAAAATAGAATTGTGTTTTTCCTTACCAGAAATATCATTACCAATCGGTACAATATTTTTACCAGAATTTTTGTATCCGTGTATGAATCTTTTGATCTATTTTTATTAAATTAAATCAGCGCAGTAGAATACGTGACAATTGTTCTAATTATATGGCGTGATTAAGTTTAGAGAAATGGATCGAATTGAATAAAATTTCTTGATTTAATTTGGTCTAACCTCGAATCGTTCTAAAATTTCGAAACAGATAAGTCGAATTCTGTTTTTTTCAAATTATTTTTAACGAACTACTGATAAACGTTAATTAATAGCAATATGCTTATCCGCAAGAAATCTATGATCTAAATGAGCCAGAAGCGAACAATTCTACATAATTAATTAAAAAAAGATAACAAAAAATGCCGAATTTAATAAATTAATTTAATAATTATTTTCATTTTATTAATTTAATTTAAATTTAATAAATTTATAATTAATTTAAATCAAATAAATATAGGCTTCTTCACGTTTAATAATATATAATTGTTCTTTCAAAAACAGACTATGAATTACACTGAAGAGCCAAAAAAACTGGTATACCTGTCTAATATCGTGTAGGGCACCCGCGAGAGCGCAGAAGTGCCGCAACACGACGTGGCATGGATTCGATCCATGTGTGAAGTAGTGCTGGAGATAATTGACACCATGAATCCTGCAGGGCTGTTCATAAACCAGTGGGAGTAAGAGGGGGTGGGGATATCTTCTGAACATCACGTTGCAAGGCATCCCAAATATGTTCAATAATGTTCATGTCTGGGAGTGGATCCAAGAGCACTCTTCTGAATTTAGACACTTCCGCTGGCCACCAAAATCCCCAGACATGAACATTATTGAACATATTTGGGATGTCTTGCAACGTGATGTTCAGAAGATATCCCCTCCTCCTTTTACTCCCACTGGTGCATGGACATCCCTGCGGGATTCATGGTGTCAATTATCTCCAGCACTACTTCACACATTGGTCGAATCCATGCCACGTCGTGTTGCGGCACTTCTGCGTGCTCGCGGGGGCCCTGCACGATATTAGGCAGGTATACCAGTTTTTTTGGCTCGTCAGTGTATAAGTGATTTATGAAGTTAGTCTAGTCAATAGTAAACTAGTAAAAACAACTAGTAAATGAATGAATATTCATTTGTAAAAAACTTTTCAAGTAAATGTGCATGTTATTGATAAAAAAGAAAAAATAATTCCAGTTAAGAAAAAATGGCATTTTCTGATAAGCAGTTAGAAATTGTCTGTTCTCCATACAGGTCTTTTTTTTTTCATCTTATCATTTAGAACAAATATCAATACTGGTAAATGTGTCCAAATCAAGTATTATTTGAGTTTTAATGTAGTGTTTATTGCTTTCTGTACAGACTTCAATTTCATTCTATTGATTTATTTTCGGTTACTAAATTTTGTATAAATGACATGATGCAGATTTTGTCTTCCGTTGTTTTCCTCAATGAAAAACTTTCTCTTTTCTACTATTATAATTTTTTTTCAAAAGTAAGGCGAGATCATTGAAAAAAAGTAGTTCTTTAATGGCCGCTTTTTAAAAGCAACTTTATAATTAACCTCTTTTTTTACTTCTCCACTTTTTTTTTTATCGGTGGTTACTCAAGTAAATTTGATATCAGTGTTAATGTGATTGACCTGGATAATGATTTGATACATTTTCTCAATAATTTTTTCATTAACTACTTACCTAAAGGGCGTGCAATATTTATTTCAACTTTGAACAGGATTCTAAAAGCTAATATGAAGAACGAGAATAACAGAGCACTTTTAAATTTACTAGTATCAAACTTAAAAATAATTTTGTTTACATTTCATTAATAAGCATAATTTAAGTTATTCTGAAGCGTAAACTAATGAATTTACCTGCCTGGACAGAGTGAATGTTAAGTTGCTAGTTGTAATCCATCCGTCATCAGTCCGTGTGACGCTTTCAACACCGGCATTAACTTCTTTTCCATCAATCGTCCACGTTAAGTCAGATTTTGGATTGCTAACATCAGTTATGCAACTTAAAGTTATTGCGCTTCCACGTGGTGCTTCAAAAGGACCACGGATCCACATTTTGTTTGAAAGATCTATTGGAAAGGAAAATTTTTTCTCGCAATTTTTTCTACACGGATAAATGAAGTGAAAAAATCATATTTAAAATGAGATAATCAATAGGAAGTACAACACACAGCTAAAAAAACACTGAAAAAACAGCTGCAAATTTTAAGGCGGTCTCCTTTTTGCAGCATTCAGAACTTTTGTATCATAAAGAATTTTATTAATATTTTGCTTAATAAATACCAATAAAAGCAACCGTAACGCCATTAACGTCTTTGCGCAGATTACGTAATTGTGATATTTTTTAATGTAAGAATTTATTTAAAAATTATAAATAACTGTAAATTGAAGAAATACCGTTGTGGTTGAAGAAATACCGAGGTAGTGATTTTGATTTGAAAGATTTTCCTCCATCAAGGAAGCCCACCCAGATTGTTGATGACAAAAGAAATCGATTCAGTCTAAGCCAGGTTACACAACGTCAGAGATTTCAGAAACATTAAGGATCAGTCAAAAAAGTTTTGGGTCCATTAAGAAAAACACGGATGCATAAGCGAGCGCAAAATTTCGCTTCTTCATGAATTCAAAAAAGTTCATTTGACGGCACGATAAAGCATTTCTTATATTCTCATGAAACGTTAAAAAAATTATGGTTCTTTTTAACAAATAATAACTGGTCAATGGGGTGTACGAACAGTTTTTGCCTTTAGGCGAAGACTCGCCATCAATGACTTCAAAGCCAGAACTTCATAAGGAAAAGATTATGTTCTCAGTGAGGTGGGATTGAATGGCTGTGGTGATTTTTTAGCACCAACTTAGGAATAGAGCTATCTACTAAAATGTTTTCTGTCGGCAATTGAACAGCTTGAACGAAGCTATCAGCCCTAAAAGTCATGAATTCGTCAATCATAAAGGAGTAGTATTCAATCACAAAGCAAAACCACAAACAACTTTGGCGACGCATGTTATTGGATCTTGGATGGGTTGTGTTACTATACACGTAAACTTACACCGTTATACTTCCACTTGTTTCGGTATTATCAAAACTCCTTCGTGGAATAACGTTACATTGAGATGAGGTTTCAATCAACACATTGTACTACACCGTTTTTTCGCAAATAAAGGTATGTTCTTCAACGAGCGAGGAATTATGAAGCTCACAGTACGATAGCATAAGTTCGTCGAACAACAACATTATACATTATTGCCTTAGTATTTAACCTTTAATTAAATATATGACTTAGAAAAATATAGAAGGAAAAATGCAATATAGCCTACATAGCCTGTTTCAGTTATTGTAATTTTAAATTATTCAAGATTTTAATTTCTTTTTTTTTTCAAGCTTCTAAGAATCCGGTTTTTTTTCTGGCAGGTTATCAATTTATTTATTTTTTATACTGTCTAGTACATAAAAAAAGCAATTTGTAAAAAAAAAAGTTTTGGTATAGTGCTATTCAAATAAAAAAATTTAAATGCCCACATACTTACAATAAACGCTTAACTTGACAGACGTAATTAAAGGTTCTTTTGTGGCAGCATTTGTTGCATGGCAGTAATATGATACTGTGTTGTCTGCAGCACTTACGATGAATGTAAGGTTATTGGTAGTGACGTCTTCCCCCAAAATGTGTAAGTACGTTGCATCTATCTGAACATTAGCACGGTACCAAATTACTTGTGGAGGAGGATTGCCACCCTCTGTAATGCATACTACTGTTATTGACTCCCCAGCATTCACTATGGTTCCTTCTGTGTACCCTTCTATTCTTGGAAACGCTGGTGAGTCTAAAAGTAGGAAAAACAGAAAAACAAAAATTTAATTAATTTCTTTTACATTATTTAAATATAAATTTAGTAAATGTATTTTAGTAAATGTACTGAATTATAGGTTAAGTTAAGAAACTGCCAAACATTTTTAATGTTTTTTATCTAGCATATATGAACAAATAGTTTCAAATAGTTAGGGTACAAAATGTTATTAGTTTTTATGGTTTTCAAAAAGAAATTTGGTGTATGATACTTTTCTGTTGGATTGTTAACAGTTCTGAAGGCCCTCCAAATTTAGATAGATTTTGCTAATAAGAATTGCAAGATTTAACCTAATAGATCATAATACATAGTTTGAACAGAAATTGTTTATTTCACGTTCTTCATGTAATGAGAAAGTACTACGTGGTATAGGAAATTTGTCCAAAGAATCAACATCTGGAAGGATCACATTATTATTAGGCTTTAATGTAATAAAATACACAAAGCGCACTTTTTGTCAATGATAGCATTGGCGTTTATTTAATGCTAAAAATGTTAAAAATGTACCGAGTCACATATTCTAAAAAGATTTCGTTAGTCCTAAAATCCCATCATATGACTCATTGCTAATAATCTAGATTAAAGTTTTGAAAAGTTTAAAGGTACATATTTAAGGAAATAAATATATTTATGTAAATATTGAAAAATATAATTATATTTCTATTAAAAATAATTAGATTTTTTTTTAAATTCTCATAATTAGATATTTTTAGAGCAAATATTTTTGTTACATTTGTGAGGGTAAGTATATTTTGTAAATGCATTACATAATTAAATTTACACATTATTTTCTCTAATAAAATTTAAATTGCAGATTTTAAGTATGTGATGTGTAAAGTACATTTTTTTAAAAAAAATATTTTTCATTATGCAAACTATTTTCAAAACCTTTCAAAAATAAAAATAAAAAATCGTACATTTTGTACTCTAATGCATCGAAAGATAATTAAGAAAAGTGAGGAAAGTTTACACACTCTGTAATCTTAAGAAAAGATTATACCTTTAAAAAATCTAAAGGATGGACACACTCTAGATTCAAATAATTATTTTTTTCCTTTTGAATGTTAATTACTTTGAAAAGAAGCAGTGAGGCACTTACGTAAGACACTTAAAGTAACATCCGTTCTCATTCTGTGATCAAGAGCTTTGTGAAGGGCTTCGCATGCAAATTTTGCTCCATTATCTTGCTTCAGAGGATGTATTGTTAAATAGCTTGTTGCCGTATATCTTGTTTTTCCTTTTCTTTCTTCATAATGGACGGATTCTAAGAATTGAGTGCAAAAACTTAGCATTTCATAAAAACTACTATTTTTTGCTCATGGTAAAATATTTGTTTGTTAATTTAAAGGAATATTTTGAAGTTTACTATAAATATGTTTTAAAATTTTTATACCTCAAAGTAGAAAATATTCAATTGGTTATAACCTATAATCTGCTGAAAATTTAGATCATAATTAGAGCATACAGAGTGATTAGAAGATGCAGACTAATCCTTCTTAGGCTTTTTGGCACCATAAATCAGGTTCACAATAGATTGATCTTAAGACACTGTTCCCTGTAAATCACCGAGGTCTAGCCGCCCAGGCTGTTTTCAAAGATTGGGTTGGTTACTTAGTTGATCAGGACCGTGAAAGGACCGATAGTGTGCGGTATCAGTCCCCGCTAAACTGTTATGCTGCAAAGTCCAGACCATAGGAAATAGAGTGCGTGCAGTCAAATGAGGAGACTGGCATCCGGCTCACTTCGATCACAGCGCTGACGTAAAATATACTCAGTGGTAGAAGGATAGCGAGTTGGAGTCCCCTTGCTGTCGGGCTAACGATGGGAAGTTTTTCTATCCATGTGACGCAAATGCGTTTTAATTCCCTCAAAAATTCTTATACGTAGTGTAATTTATCCGAATATTTGATCCAGGATTTCTCTTCTCTTCAGGATTGGGTTCAAAATTTCAAGGCTACGGAGTTGAAAATTGATAGTTGTTAACTCAAAATTGGGTCGATTGCTCAACGACGGTTGTAAAATAAAATTTAAAATAGCCCATAAGGAGATCTGGAGCGAAGTAAATAAAATACTACAACATCTTTTATCTAGATGCAATTTATACTGCTGCAACAAATTTGAAACATGTTTTTGCTTAACTGTAACTTATTTCTCAAAACGTAAACCTCAATTTATTGCACTTAAAATTTCAACCTATTTTTCGATTAATGCAAATATTTTTTAAACCGCAAATTTTCTAAAATACTTAAATTAATAAAAAAATACTGCTGAATACTTTTTGATTAATCCAGTATATATATTTGCTGCGTAATGCATGCATAGCGAGATGTGGTTTCCTATGCTTTAAAAATATACTATTGTTTTTTGTTCTAAATTTTTTATTGTAATAAGTGTAAATACAACTAAGCATAAATTTAATAAAGTCAGTTAGCTAACATATTATATTTGTTTTAAGTTTTAGAACAATGATTAACATCAAATGTTCCATGAAGAAAACTTTAAAAAATATTAAAATCTTCTCGCAACAGGGCAGCCTTGACCAAATGGGTCATAGATAACAGCACCACTATTTTGGTTCAATGTTTTTAGAATTTTTCGACGAATTACAGTGCACTAAATCGAAATACAGTGCACGAATTACAGTGCACTAATCTTTATTTAGAGAAAGTACGTTTTTGTGTCCTATTTTGCAACTTTAAAAATTGTCTACACTGATTAATTAGCATATTTAAAGTCACTCTCTCTAGCCATTAATATTGAGTCCTAGAACGTGAAGATCCGATAATTAGATTAATTCAGGGAGGTCAGTTTTTTCTTTTTTTAGTGCACTGTATATTATAATTGTATAGAATTATGCTCCCATAACTTTTCTATTTAATTGGTTTGTTGATTGCTAATAAATTTATTTACTAATTGAAGCGGGATAGGCTTTAAAAGTAAGACTTAAGTCAGATAAACCCAATGTTATACAAGAACAGCTTGGTAAAATAAAGCAAAATATAGTTTTAACGACGAACAAGCATAACACTCATTAAATTTCTTCAGATTTTATCTTAGACAAAAAAAAGTTTTCTTATCAATGTTAACTTAAGATCAATTATATAGTTTTCAAAACCAATGTATATTGTGTTTTGTTGTTTACAAAAATTGATGAATTTACAAAAGAAAAATATTCAAATTTTGCAAGTTAAGATTCAAATTTCCTTGATCATTTAGTAAATATCCAACTAGTATATGCGCATATGAAGTTACTGCATCAATGATCAAAGTAATCACAAAATAGTGTTATCATGTTCTATACTGTGTAGCTCAGTTACCTTAATAATAACAACGATAGCCTAGAATTTTTCTCCGTATAAATAATTTACCGTGTCTAAGGGCACAAGGCATTTAACATAATCAAGCGTAGAACGTTTGACGATACGACTGCCATTTAGGGACTACATGTGATCATGTCAGTGTATTTATTGATTATTATGTATGTGCTATTATGCTGCATAAGACAACGCAGAAATTTATTTATAGGCCAAATAAATCTCAATAGACGAGTATATTAAAATCTGCATCACAAAATAACGAGTGCATTCGGTTTATTTATTGATTAATAAATAAACTATGCTATGATTAAAAAAAATCAGCTCATAGTTGGAATTCTTACACTATGCCTAAAAGAATGGTGCAAATAATTATTACATACATGTTTTAAGTAATTTGCATTTTTTAACTTTTTTTAAAAATGTTTTTACTCTTAATGGTTTAAAATAAGACAAAACAAACGGAATAAAGTTAAAAGAAACTCTAAATTTCTGCTTCTAACCATATTTAAAATATCAATTCTTCAAAAAATAACTCAATTTTAAAAGTTATAAAATCTTACTAATAAAACTCATATTAGGAATTATACCAACTACTAACATACAATAAGTCCCTTTAGTTATTTAAAACAATAAGTTAAAAATTTAAAAGAGTTTTTTTACATTGCATTTTTTTCAACTAATTTAGAAAAAGTAGAATTTTCTTAGAAGTCTTAGAAGACACTTGATAATGCGAATTTCATAAATAAAAGGAAAATGGATAAAAGGATTTACTTAATAAGCTGAAAAGTTCCAATTTCCAACCAAATATAAATTATTAATTCTAAAAAATATACCTTTACAAATTTTAAAAGCTATGACTTCGTGACATTCATTTTCAATAGCATTATTGCATACATTCTAAACAGTCTTCCTAGTCATTCTTAAGATTAATTCCCCGTAATATTTAAACTTCATAAAACAAATTTAGTTTTGGAAAAATTTTGGTTTTTTTGTAGGAAATTTTTTTTAGTATTTTTACAAAGATTTAATGAGAGGAATTTTTCAAATTATAAAAAAAAAAGTGAAAATGCAAAAAATAACTCAATTTTTAGAAACAATGAACTTAGATCAATTATCCATAATAGTTAAGCCAACTTGAACTATACCTTATATACAAATATATCTAAAAAAATCAATAATATAGATAAAAAAACTATGAACTAAGATTATTTATTTTAAACAGTATTATTGCAAACATTCTGAACATCCTGTCGATATTAAGAACGATTAAGATGATTAGTTTTGCCTCAAAAAACAAATTTGGTTTTGCAGACAAATCGCATTTTTTTTCTTCTCAATATTGGGAATGTTTGTTAGCAATTATAAGGAATTTATTAAACCAATTTTTCAAATGATTAAGAAAAGTGAAAACATAAATAATAACGCAATTTTTAGAAACAAAAAACCTGATCAAATATTTTTAATAGTAAAGCCAGCTTGAACTATACCTTATACATAAATATAAGAAAAATAACTTACCTTTAGGCACTTCTTTATTGTCTTTGTACCACTTTAAGAGAGCAGCTGGTTTACTTCCCACTGCTTGGCAGATAAGGCGAACCGATGTATTTTCGTTTACCTCCATCGTGGAGGATTGTCCCAAACCATTAACAGAAATATAATCTGGTGGTACTAAAGAAAACAAAAATCATCTTTGTGAATGTGTTTTTTCTCTCTTTATTTTAAATTCAATATCATGTTTCATTCCATTCTAAATGTATTTTATGAAAGACATTGGCGTGGTTGAAAAACTTATTTATTTAAAAATGTTATTTGCTTTTTTAAGGGGTGTAATATTTTAGACAGTTTGTTTTATCCCTCTGCTGGCTAAATTTACTTCTTTTAGATTATATTTTTTTCGATATTTCTTTTCAATTTTTTCTGAAAAATATCAAAGAAATTTTAGTTATCAGCTACTCGAATTTCATTTACTTTTACTATATTTTACTGTTCAGTATTATTTATTTTTTTGAAAATACACAAGTTATACACTGATAGAAATGGCTACTCAACTATCGCGAAACTTTATTCGTTTTTGAAAAAACCATATCCTAGTATATGCTTAGAGCAAAATTTTCGTCAATGTGACAAAATAACTGTCATCGTTTCTTTGAGGAAAATAATTTTGTTCTAAATTAAAGAAATATTTCGTTATTCTCCCCCCCCCTAAAAAAAGGAAAATTATGCTAGGTGCAAACTTTTCTAATAATCAGATTTGAAATGAGGAAACATTTTCGTCATATAGTTAAGAATTCGAGTTTTATCACAAATCGTGAAATTTCCTGACGAAATAATTCTAAAAATTAATAATGTGCAGCTCAAGGATTGCTAAATCGACAGCAGTGAGAGATTTACTTCTGTGAGTGTATCAGATTGCATTACAAAATACTTATGAAATGCAATGGGTAAATTCTCTTCAGCCATTCAGTTGTATTTTTCTGTTTCTTGGTTATTCGTTAATATTATGCTTTTAATCGTTTATTCGTACAAAGTAATAAAATTGAATAAATAGCAATAATCAGGAATATTGTCTAGTTATAAATATTTATTAGAAATATTTATTAAGAATTTTAAGAAGAATATTTGAAATAAATATTTATTTTTGTAATCAATAAATCATTTAAACTTTTTTAAAAAACACAACAAATTTTTGCGGTTGGGTATGAACTCTGTAAGAAAATTTTAAATTGCCTTCACAGGCAGACTGCAAACGGTTAAAAATTGTTGTGTTATATGTGATGGTCTGTCTTAATGTGAAAAGTAGGCATGGGCATTGTTGATAAATATATAAAATATTTATTATTTCATTTAATAATGATCAAAAAATTTTGTATTGTAAGGTATACAAATTTTTGCATTATTTTAAAGAATATTATTTTACATGGCAAAATGTAAGCAAAATTGGTCGAATAGTTCCTGAGAAATCGGATTTTGAGTATCTAACTTTTTTGAAATTCAATTTCTCAGGAACTATTCCACAGAATTTGCTCAAATTTTATATTTTTTCTTCTAAAATTACAATCTTTAAAATGAGGCAAAAATTTTTATAACTTACGATTCAAAATTTTTTTCTGCCAACATTAAATAAAAGAGTAAAAAATAATAAATATTTACTAAAACTATTTTTTCCTTCGAATTATCTTTGGATAAACGGATTTTATTCTTGTGTGTAAAACTTTTTTAATTCACTTAAAAAGTTTTCGATGAATAGCGAAATACGCAAAAAGTGAACCAAATTCATTAAACCAAATCAAATTCACTCTACCAAACCATTGACACAATATCTTAACAATGCCGGCCAGGTGGCCGAGCGGTTAGCGTGGCTGACTGCGAAGCCATAGGCTGCGGGTTCGAATCCCGCTCTGGGCATGGATGTTTCTCTCTCTCTTTGTGCTGTCCTCTGTTGTGTGTGTGTATGATGTGTGAATGTGGCCCACCCTATAAACGGGTTTGTGGCAGTGTGGCGTGGGCAATGTTGCTCGCCTCCGTGACTTTGGTTCACAGGTGCCCACTGGGTAACGCGAAATGAGCAACAATTCTGGCATAGTATAGGCAAAGATTCAAATTCAGTGCCAGCCATTGAAAAAAAAAATCTTAAAAATTGCTGCCAAGCCCTGCATTTCTCGGGGCAGAAATCCGAATATGACAAAAAAAGGAATGTTTATTCAGAGAAAGTACGTTTTTGTGTCTGATTTTGTAACTTAAAATATTTTCTGCACTTCTTAATTAACATATTTAGAGTCACTCTCTCGAGCCATTAATTTGGAGTCCAAGAATGTGAAGATCCGATCATTAGATTAAGTCAGGGTAGCCCGTTTTTTTTTCTTTTGTGTGTGCACTGTTTACTATATATATATAAAAAAACTTGAATTGATGGGGAAATAACAAGCGAAGGAGTAAAAATTAAGTTAAAGAATAACAAATTATGCAGCGTCTGAAAGAGACACATCATCCAAACTATACAAGCATAAAAATAACTGAATGCACATTTAAAATTTGTTTCACTTACTAAGAATTCTTAATTTAGCTGCAGATCTAATTGGTGTGTTGTTCAAAGCTGGTCCGACCTTTTAAAGGAAAAAAAAATGTTACAGGTGATAAGATAAAATGATATTAAGAACAGCAGTACACTTTATTAGTTTAAAATATTGCGTAATGTTCAATAAGAATCAAAAATCTACAAATTTTCTCCGAATAAAAATTATCTACAATTTTGCAGTACATATTTAGAATCCTACATCTACATAAAATGTGCTTAAGGTTTAAAAAATTTTTATTATTACCCTTGTAAACTTTGCTGCTTATAAATAAATGTTTTTTGCTTCCATTGTTCTACATCCTGAAATTTTTGGAACTTTTATACAACCATATTAGAAATATGAATTTAAAAGGAGTTTGCCATCCTTTAAATATTTATAACTAAAATAGCAACATGTTAAGAACTTCTTTTTTAAAAGGCGGTATTGCGTTGGAGGCAGAAAGTGATTCGTGAATACAAATTGTCACACATTAATGACGGACTACTTATAAAAAAAAATTTATAGTTGACTGAGCTATGAATCAGTTTTTCCTGATGCCAAAATTAATGCTTGAGGGTTAAGATAAAAAAGTAATGAAAATTGCTGTAAAATATCTGTAATAAAATGTTTAGTGAATACTCGTTTTTTTTCCTGTTTAAAGAAGTCAACAAACAAAAGAATGAAATTTTTTCTGCTTTTCAATTTAACTTACCACTTCTTGTGTCAACCTATCGTATTTTGAGCGAAAATGATTGTTAAAGGGAATCGATAGGGCATAAACCAATAATACTAAAACTGACTTTTGCAAAGTACCCTTTTTCATTATCTAAACAACATACTTCAGGGTTTTTTTTTTTTGGTAAAAAATTTTTGTATACAAGCTTACACTGCGATAACTGTTAATGTATATATTTGACAGAAATTGTTTAAAAAATGTATGAACTGAAAACTTTTAATTTATTTTTAAAATCTTAGTCAAACAGTGCTCCTGTTAACACTAAAACAGTGTCACAGTAGTTCATCTTTTTTTTCGATAATTACTAAAAATTATAGATCATAAATAATAGATCTTATAGAATCAAACGAATAACTAAAACAAATTTTAACATTTAAGCTCTACTAATTTTATAATTATTAGTAGTAGTAGTATTTACGTAATGATTTAAGATCACTTACTTGACACTGAAATTCACCTTCATCTTGGAATCTGACATTTTTTATCTGCAAATTATATACACCTTCATCTTCATTTACTTCCATGTAATATCTGGGATATCCTGGAATTTTTGGATCAAAACCTATTATAAGAAAATAAATAAGTAAATAAGGTTATTATTTTTATAAAAAAACTCTTTTTTTTTAAATATTTTTTAAAAATAATATTAATGCAATGCTAAATGTTGAGTGGAATACTGTAGCTGATAACACTTAATTATTAATAAATGTTCAATTATAAATGATCAATTAAAATCATTGCTTTTTTGCAAAGTTCTAAACCGACATTTGTTGTTCTGATTTCACTTAAGTAAACCTTTTTCTCGATATAAAATACTACAAACTATTGCAATGTTCTAAATCTTAAAAACCCTAAATTATGTGTTGATTAGACTAATTGTTAGCACGATCTGTCTAATATATTCATTCTTTTACCGAGTGACGGAATTGTAAGTTCTTGTAATTTAATCAATTTATTTTTAATGGAGTATTTCTCATTATTTGTAGTTTAACCTTTTTTCAAATAAAAATTTCAGAATTATAGGAAGGTTTTTGACGTTTGTTTTTTGAATATTTATTACTGCAGTAAAAGTTATTGGCAATTTTTATTGTAAAAGTTTTTATTACTTGATCGATTTGTATAAATTTTATAGTATTATCTAAAATGTTCGAAGTTTCATGAAAGCTTTGTACATAAAGTGATGTTGAACTTTATTTCTTTTCCGGACACACCGAGAATATCATCTTCTATTTAATGACAAAGAAATATCTCCTCAATTCAGAGAAGAAAAGAAGGAAATAATGACAATATATATTCGACTCTAAAAGAAAATCACGAATTCCATCTAAGTGTAAAAAGCTTTTGTATTCGTGATTGCTATTAAAATGGATCACTGCGACAATTTCTGAACTAGAATTTCGTCTCAGAAACTCCACAGTGCACTCCAACCTACTTTTATTCGCAATTGAATTCTCTCTTTTTACGAACCAGATTTGATTCTTCCGGAATAAAACCGTGAGAAGTTTCAAACAGTTCGTGGACGTAAGAGAAGATTTAAATGTAGAGAATTCTTGAGATTAGTTTGAAAAACCTTGTACTTCAGAAAGAATCTTAAGCTTAGGTATGCTGCAGAATACGAGGTTCACAATGAATTGGAAAGTGAAATTTGCAAACTTCGCGACTTGAAGAAAGAAAGCTAATAAAGCTTACTTCCCAGGAAAGAAAAATAGAATTAGGCGCTTTAAAAGAGCGAGGAAAATGTGTTTAAAAGGATTCGCGTGTTTATTTTCGTGTGTGATCCATTCCTTTAAGATTTCCTTTTATTGCTCACTTCCGTGCAGTTCCAGTTCCAAATGAAAATTTAAAAAGATTCCTAATGCTATCCAGTAGAAAACAGGGTACATCATATACTTCGTAAAATGAAACAAATTTGTTTTTGTTGAACTTAACATTTGCTGTGTGAAAATAAAGCTTTTTTTCAATGAAAACTTTGCACATCGCACCATTTTTTTTATTGCAGTTAAATCGTCACATTCAATTTAGATCTAAAAATAAGCGTGTGATGTTATCACAATACCTTCCACTTACAACAGTTTCTTAAATTACCTTTCTGGTGATGCCTTGCGCCTAACTTTTTTAAACTGTAATCGTTAATTTTACTGAGCTCAAATATCCGAATCGACATATATTCCATTGTGCCGTGCTTGAAGTAACTGATCTTGCTTTTCAAGGTATTATTTTCCTTCTACGCATGCTCCGAAAGTAGAATTTCATGTCTTATATATTTAGCTTTCCTTATATTTTCTTTATATCTTCGCTATCCTAATTTGCATTTATGTAGGATAAATTATTAATTTATCGGATAAGGTAATTTTATAAATATTTAGAAATAGTTTTAATGATAGTGCGTGCAGTAAAGTGAACACGTTCCCCCTGTTGACGATTCCCTTACCCTGATGGTGCCTCTGAACATTCCAGTGCGTGGTAAAAAAAATATGTCGACACTGCCTAAATACAAAAATAGTGATTTAGAACGAGTTTCTCTTTGTTCTGCTTTTGCTATCCGCATTCATCTTCTCACAAACAGGGTACATCTCAGCATAGAAGAAGCAAACAACTAAGGCTCCTATACTATCAGAGCTGACCTATCAAGCAATAATGGAGCAAACAAGTTCGCAAGTTAACGTTATGTTAGTATTGTGCTTATGTTAGCTTTTTGCTCCAAAAATAGATGATAAGTCGGCCTGCCAATGACCCTGGTGAAAATTATGATACTCTCCCTCTTCTTCCTTGGGGATTCACTGTCCTTTAAGCAGCTACTGAAATACTACAAGCCGTTTCAAATAAAATTTATTGTATTTTATTATCTCGTTGTTTATTTTTATACAATATGAGATAATTAAATTTGATTTGGTAGGTTCGTTATTCTTTTGAGTGTGGTTTTTTGGTTTACATAACCCTTAAACTAATCTTCTATCTGCGACCTTTCGAAGCTTATTTTTCACCAGATGGATTTGTTGACTATTTAGTCAAGTTTTTTCTTCCAGTAGAATACTATTTCTTTTTTTTCCCGTTTCAGGTTTTAATCCAGAACGTTATTGCATAGTGAAATCGGGTTCTAGTCATGTACTTATTTTCTCTATTCATGCCTAGTTTTTCACTAAAAGTTTTCAGGTTAGCGAATGCGTATTGGAATTATAAGGTATAATGGTTTTATTTTGAGAAACCTTGTAACTTTTGTAATTCTCCCGAAATTTTATGAAAACGTTTTAATGAATATGTTAGTATATGTATGTTTCACAGAGTTTGTTCTTTTTCGTCTATTTGAATCTTTTTCGATTTTTCGCTCTTTTATTTTTGAAATAATTAGATTCGCTAATGTTTAGTTAAGAAAAAAAAAGAATTTAGTTAAGACTAAAATTCTTAAGCCAATGTTATCCAGTAGTGCTCTAGTCAGTTGACATAAAGTGAGTTTAAAATGATGAATAAATTTAAATTATAAATAACCTTTAATCTTCACTTGAAACCTAAATACTGAATGAGCTAATCCATTTTAAATGTATGTCTTATAATGTTTTTCTCTTTTACCATTATTTAAGAGTAAATTAATATAACTTGAAATAAGTTAATTTCTAAATCCAAATAAATTTTATGATTGATATTTTTTATTTAATAAAATTATTTATAGCTTCAATATCATTCAGGGAAATTGTACAAAAACTAAAAGCTAAACAAATATTTTTTTTTCTAAAATCAAATATAATCTTAATAAAACATTGTAATTTTGAACAATACCGTTATGATATTTATTGCAAAAATTGAAGAAGAGCCTGAAGTGCATTGTTATTATAAACTTTAACATATATAGTAAAAAAAGAAATATAATTTAAAATACTTTGCAAGTTTAAAATACATTCAAGTTATATTTCGATAAAAATAAGTGTTTATATGAAAAAATATATAAAAGCAGCAAAGACGAATTAAAAAATACATGTAACAGAAGATTACATGTAACAGAAATACATAACAATTCAGTTTGAAAGTTATAATTTAATTAAGTAGTTTAAAAAAACATTCTCAACTAAAACTATTTTAAAAGAATATGACAAACCATCACAAAAAAATAAGATGCCTTGAAAAGAAAAAAAAATATTTTTCTTATTTTATATCATATTTTAAAGTGTGGTGCATTGCGGAATTACCCAAACTCAAAATAATATCGAATTCAATGTAATGATTTTACAAAACATTTCAAGAAGAAATAAGAACACCAAACAAAACTTGTATATTGATGAAATTTGATGTGGTTGTATGGCATAATTGAAGATAATGACGAAAGCGGGATCATGATCATAATAAAATATTTATTCAGTAACAGTTGTAGAGATCAAGATACAAAATTTAAGACTATTGTGTACAAACTTCATTTTAAGTGAAATATTAAATTTTGAAATAATAATATTAGTAAGGAAAGACCATGGGAGAAACATTCCCCACGATCAACCTAATCATAAGAAAAATAAAGAGTGAAGGCATTATTCCTAACAGACAGATAGCTGTCATGGATAAGGGCATGGTATGAGATCCACAGTTGACGATTTATAGAAAGATAACATAGTCAAAAATAAAGACAACCTCCCGTAATCAATATTAAATTTGAAAAATTATTTGGCGAAAGCTAATCGCCAAAAAAACTATGAGAATTAATATAACCTTGTAACTGAAAAATTTTTGTGATAAGAAATAAAGAATAGAGATTTTTAAATAGCATTTTTGTTTAGATTTAATTGCGATTAATTTTACATTTGTATAGATAAATATTCAATAATTTTCTTAATTTATTTGAAATTCGATAAGAAATGATTAAAAAAATAAATTTCATGAAATTAATATTTTTTTAAAGCCTAGGAAATATGTAACGCCTATTATGACATCGCATAACGTGTTATACTTTAAAAGAAAGCTTTCTAATAACATTTGAGCTTTTGATACCTTTTGATCTAGCAGATTGGCTCACGGATTTATCTTTCCCAATTTGACACAATCTATTGCTTTCAAATTCTGAATTTGATATTATCATGAAGGCAATATTTTACAGAAAATATGTTTAGATTTCAAATAATTTTCGAAAAATCATTGCTGATTTTGTCAAGAAGGAAAGAAATCGAGTAATAAGTCGGTATAGGAAATTGAGTAATGAAAGTTAGATTTCGCATTTAAAACCTTACTCAAGAAAAATTTGTGCTAGTCAAACGAAATTGGCTCCAAGGATAAAAAACGAAAAACACTTCTTACAAAGCAGAATCAGACTCTCTACGCATAAACTGACAAATCCATGGGCAGAAAAGTGGAAGAAAAAAAAGTTACAATAAAAAGTACTGTGGAACTAAAAATATGGATTGTCCATTACTAATAATAATTTCACATTATTAATGATTGATCAAATGATCGAAAAAAAATAATGATAGATTTGTATCATATGAAAGAAAAAATTATGCTTTATCTATCATTAATGATAATATCTCAATAATAATAAATTACGAAATCATGGACATAAAAAAATAATGCGGGATACGTAATGCA